CATGCCATCAGCCTGGAAGCCAACGCCAAGTCTACAAAAGTGCAATTATCTTAAGGGGATCCCAGGTGGTAACTGCACAACAAAAATCATGGTGCTAGCTACAAGCCCAGGAACTTCCCACTGGCCCTGTAAATGCTGACACTGCCATTCAAAAGATGAGAAGACTGAGTGTGGGAGCCAGGGGAAGCCACTCTCACCTGGCCATCCTCACACGACCATCAGTCCATCAGCTCAGCCTGCCTTACGCAGATGCTACGGAGCAAATAACAGAAGCTCGGAGACTTTCTGTTCTTTCCGTACGAAGTCTGGGTGGTCACTGCACAGGGGCCCAGCGTCTGCTATCCATGCTGACACTGGAAATAGGGTTTCTCAAAGGAAAACAACTATGCGCAGGAAAAGCTTTGCTTTCTCAGAACAGAACGATAAAATTAACAGACATGGTGGTGACTACCAAATCTATTGAAAATAGAGGAAGGACCACTAAAAGTTGAAGAAAACTCTAACGTGACATATGCATTAACTGGTGTGGCTCTGGTTTTCGACAGGAAGCAACACTGTCCCTCAATGAACAGTACAGATGAAAAGCTGCCTCCAGCCTTAGCTCCTCATTGCCGTCTGGTGACCAGTCTTCGACGACAACCCCACTGCCTCTACCAGAGCACCAGCCACACACACCATCTGCTGCCTAAGCAGCTCTCCCTAACACTACTACTCCTTTAACAGCGGCATCCCTGTCACCGCCAGCCAAGGGAAGCAAACCCAAACTGCTGTCTTAGCAACTTAATCTGCACACCCGGCCGCCCATCTACCCATACTCACTCCGACCTAACCGGGTCTCCTCCCCATTAAGCCCTGCTTGTGGGGCACTGTGCTTCATCCTGACTCTCTGCCCTGCAGTTCTCTGAAGCCAGAAACCCAGGGTTCTACCTCCACCCCCCCCCCCCACACACACACACACCCTGTAAGGAATTCTGCCCATCAGTCAGAAGCACCGAGCTCGTGCCAATTATGACGTGAGACTTCCTGTTCAGCAAATTACAAAGCAGCAGTGGGAAAACCACAGGCTTTCAGGGTGCTGGCTCTGACTCTGCAGCAGATCTGAGTCACCTGAGAGCTTGAACAGAATGGGATGCCCAGGCCTGTTGCCGGGACAATTAAGGATCTTGGGAGGCTTCTCAGGGAATTCAAACACATGGCCAGGGTTAAAAGTCATAAAACTTCAGGATTTCCTCCAGTGGTATTTCTTTCTTCTTCCGCCTCCCCTCCCCGTGCCCCGGGATGCAGGGGTTATGCCTGGCCGTGCTCTGGGGCTACTCCCAGGTCTGTTTATGGGTCACTCCAAGGGTGCCCAGGGTCACTGTGAGGGGCCAGAGTTGGAGCCTCTTCGACACACAGCATGTGCTCATCCTGTTGAGCTCTCCGCGTCTCTACAGTGGTGTTCTTTAGCCCACAGATCCATTAGGTGGCACAAAGACCACCACTGTTCTCTCTCCCGTCCGTCACACCTGCCGTATAAAGTGATTCATCGTCGCGTTTTCTTAAAATGACCATCCTACTGTTTCTTTATGGCAATAAAATGGCCAACAGCAGAGGACGGTAAGATTTTTATTCCCTGTTTAACTGCTGTGATATGCCCATCTTTCCAGGTAGGTACATGCCCCCCGCCCCACCCCCACATCTGACACCACAGTGACCCCCGGGCCTCTCATGGAGCACCAAGGCTGTGCCTGCATGTGGCTGCTGCCCTGAGGAGGCGGCCAGGAGCACAGGGGAGAGAGGAACTGGCCGTGTCCAGGCAGGAAACTCAGTAGCCAGAGTAGGGGAAGCCTTCCCAGTTCAGGCCTGATTATCCGACTCTTTGTGCTCTTAAAGGAGAGTAATTATAGGCATGTGAAAAAAGGGAAGCACTCCCCGAGGAACTCTTCCTCACATGCTTCCCAAGAGGCGGCAGGGCCATTAAAAATTCCATGATGAAGAGGAAAAACAGCCTGGGAACAGCCAGGAGGCAATACAGCAAATTAATACAGCAGCCCTCCTCGGGGAAAGCTGTGATAAAACAGGAAACACTTCTCTCTTAGCAAAATAAAATTATACCCACTAATGATAACACAGTCACCACACACACACACACACACACACACACACACACACACACACACACACACACCCTGTTCTAATGATGGGTGTGAAATTCCCCGTGCTACTCAAACGCTTTGAAAAGAAATCTTTTCCTACTACAAATAAAAATGGAACAAGGGAAAGAGAAAATTTCTATTCAAAACCATTTTTTAATACAGCTGTTCACCTGCCTCTTCCTCAGGCCAGGATCTAGGAAACGGCACACTTCTTACAAAGCCCGGCAGCCAACACTGAGTCGGGCATTGCCAGCTGGCCACACAGGCGCTGGATAGCCCCTGGTCTCCTGACCTCTGGCCTGGCAGGGCCCCCACTATTTCGAAGGGCTGGAGAGAGTCCCCGGGGCGGAGTTTTAGCAGCCATGTTTCTGGAGGCTGCCCAGAGGCAACGTGCCACCCTTTCCTAGATGGTACGTCCCAGGGAGTGATGCACTGAAGGAACGCTCCATCACCATAAACACCACATGCTACGTCATACATACACGTGGGAAAACAAACCAAGAAAACCCCCCAACAACTTTCTGAAGACTCAGACTGTGTAAGTTTATGATTTTTTCCCCTTGTCCTAAAGACCCCCCAACCATGCATCAAGCTGGCTGTGTCCCCTGGCCTGGGGATGAAGCTGTGTGGGCCAAGGATGGCCTGAATGGCTTGCAATGGTCTGAGGCAGCGGTTTTCAACCACGCTGTACCTGGGGGCCGTCCTCAGCTAACCAACATGTGGCCAAGAACCAGCACTAGCTAGGAATGCCACAGAGCAACAGGACATGTCTGCAGGCTGGTGTCTGAAGCAGGATTTCCTCTGAGCTGGGCGCACTGGAAGCATAGTCGAGATGTGGCTAGGGTTCCAGCCCAGCTACACGCACCGCCAGGAAGAGAAGGAAGAGGATGCCATATGAAAACAGAGCAGAGAAGGGGCTGGAGTGATAGTACAGCGGGTAGGGTGTTTGCCTTGCATGTGGCCAACCTGGGTTCAATCACTGGCATCCCATATGGTCCTCCAGGTACTGCCGGGAGTAATTCCCGAGTGCAGAGCCAGGGGTAATTCCTAAGTATCACTGGAGTGTGACAGAGAGAGAGAGAGAGAGAGAGAGAGAGAGAGAGAGAGAGAGAAGCAGAAAGCTGCCGCCCACTTGGGCAAGGGCGGGCACCCCTGGCGGGAGCACAGCACAGGGCTAAGCAGTAGAGGGAAGGGGGGAGGGGTGAGCAAGCAATCTGCTATGAGCCCCTGACAAGATGTGGTGCAGTCTTCCTCAGGAGTCTTTGGAATGCTGTGCTCAATTTTCTCTTCTTCATAATTTTTAAAACGACACCCAGTTTTTCCTCAGGACTGCAATCCTGTGTGTGCCAACCCAGCCTGAGCAGCACCGCCTCTAAGAAAAGTGCCTCCGGCCCTGAGTTAGAAGCGGCGGGGAGCACTGAATCCCTCTGGGGCAGCCCCGAATGTACCCGCACTCCCGCAGAACCCTCCTGTCTCCACACCCGACTTTCCCAAGAGAAGGGAAGCTCTCTGGAGGCAGCACCTCACCAAGAGTCTGGCACATGGAAGGGGATCCGCAAATGTTCCCTGAATGAATGGCACCACACTACTCCAGTAAAGGCCCCCAGTTATCATCCCACTGAGCAGCTAACCCGGTCTCACGTTTCCAGACTCCCCCCTCCTCCCCCCCCGAAATAGGCCATCTCTGGTAGAAGGTGCGGCAGTAGGAACAGACGTGACGCAGGATCATGGACGGTGCAGTATGGGACAGGATCATTATCACACAACCAGACTGGCTGATCTGATCACTGTACCGGTGAAAGACCGGGAGCAGCCTGAAACCCAAATCTCCAAATACTACATTCACCTCAGAATATACAAGGAAGCGGGGGGGGGGGGGGGGGGGGGTTCTTATAAAGAAATTCTTCGCACCTTCAGAAATAACAAGACATCCTACAATCCAGCCTACCAGGTGCTCTTTTGTGTATAATAAAAGCCTTGCTGGGAGATGCTCGCCAAAAAAATACATCCACTTCCCACATTACCGAACGGCAGGTGCAGGCACAGGGGCATACTGACAAGCAAACTGGGAGCTCAGGAAGTACGAAGCTCTGGGCTGGACACCGGAGCCCTGTCAAGGACCAACACTGGGTTCTGCACTTCGAAGCTCTAATCTCCATGGAGAGTGGCAGGTGGGGGTGGACTCCCCAAAGAAGTTGGTGAAAAACAGGAAATGGGCAGAGAGAGGTGGAGCTGGCCCTGATACATAGAGAGATGTCCAACCAGAAGGTGCTGACAAGGGGTCATGGAGATCTCTCTCTCCTCTCTCTTCTCCTCTCTCTCCTCTCCCTCTCCCTCTCCTCTCCTCTCTCTCCTCCTCCCCCCTCCCTCATTTCCCCCTCACTCTTTCTCTATGAGACACTGGTCAGTCAAAGGGATGAGCAAAGGGTCCACGGCAGGAAAGGAGCTCCCAGATGTGACGGCACCTCCCAGTGAGGAGGAAGACCTGGGTGACGGAGGCTGGACCTGTGGGCAGCACGCAGTGGATGCAGGTCACGGGAAGGACCACTGAGAACGTGCTTCAAAGAGGTGGCTTTTGGCACAAGGGCGGTGAGGCACAACATGTGAGGCAAAACTGAGCCTCGAACCACAGTGATGGGGGGTTACAAGGAAGCGACCTCTCAGCAGGCCTCTAGTCCTGGATGGGAGACAACCTTTCCTGACCACCAAAGGTCAAGCTGTCACATCAAACGGGATACACAATTCAAAGGCATTTTCTAACGTGACAAGAGTCATTAGGAGAAAACTACCACCCAACCCACAGTGCAGCAGTAAGAACGGGAAACGGGTAAATGAGAAGAAGATGCCGTTCCTGGAAGGCAGTACCTGGCGGAGCAGTGTGCGGGCGAGCACCGTCGGTGAGAAGCATCGGCGAGTACGTCCAGGGAGTAGAGGGGAGAGAGCGGGTTCAGCTGCAGAGGGAAACGAGACAATTTAGCAAGGCTCGACCCTACAGGGCGCCCCTCACTGTGGTTACTTTTCCCCACTGATCATTCCATTCTTCTGCCATACCACCATGAATTCCATTCACTGATGCACATGTTCCAAAGTGTCCCTGTGAGTGAAAAGCAGCGGATCTAGAACACCCAGAAACAAGGAACCAGCCCCTGAGGCTGCGGAACTAGCTAGCGCAAAGGCTGGCATCTTTCCAAGCAAGAGGCCTGGGTTCGATCCCCAGCACCACAGGTTCCCCCTGGGCACCCCTGGGAATGCTCCTCAAACAAAATAATAGGAAGCCAAAAGAATCAAACAAACTATGTTCGGTAAACAACAAGATTTCTCAAAAACAAAACCATCTGATACGTGAGACAGTTACTTAAGGGGCAGAAGGCGGTGCTTTCTGACTGCTGAACAGGAGGAGCGGAGGTCTCCAGCCCTGTTCCCAACAAAGCTAGCAGCAATTCCCAATTTCTTTTCCCCATCCTGTCTCCAGCGGTTGGCACAGACCTGGGAACAGGGCAGCGGAGAGAGAACTAGGGTAGAACTGGAATGCCTATCATTCAGTTCCAACTGACCACTGGGCTGGCACGTATTTTTAAAAAAAAATCACACAATGTCTCTGAGCTTTATTAGCACCATCTATACAACAGATGTCTTCCCATCTGTCTGACCGTCCTATCTGATTCTTTTGAGAGATAAGTGAAATACTGCTTGCGGTTTACATGGAAATGTTAGGTTTCTCATCTGCAGAACAGCTGGTGACCTCCAAAAGCTCATCAAACGGAAGACCATATATTCAAGTGGTTAACTTTTGGTCTGGGATATTTTTTTAAGGCTTTTTCTACAATAGAAAATTCTCTTCAAAAAAGTTCAGGACAAAATATACTTCAAGACGGGAAAAATCCTGAAAGATAATTTCAAAAGAACTCTATAGGAACACAAATTGAGCAAGTGTTCACTCCAGAGCTACTTGGCGCATGATTCTGGGCAAAAGGCTTAAATCTCGTTTGCAAACACCAGCAGGATGAGGTGTTTGCTACGGGTCTCTCCTGCCATTGAGATTAAGGATGCAAATACAACCTATACCCCAGCTTCAAGTTCCAGGGACTCAGTCTCTGACAAGCCTCCTTAACAGCTGCTTGGGTGTAGTTGTTGTTTTTAACCCTTTTCAAAAGGATTAAAAATTCTTATTAAAAATTCTTTCCTTGGGGCTGGAGTGATAGCACAGTGGGCAGAGCAGTTGCCTTGCACGCAGCCGAACCGGGTTCGACTCTCAGCATCCCATATGGTCCCCCTAGCACCACCAGGAGTGATTCCTGAATGCAGAGCCAGGAGTAACTCCTGAGCATTGCCGGGCGTGACCCAAAAAGGAAAAAAAAAATTCTTTCCTTATCTGTCTACCATTTGCATTGCTTTTATTTAGTATTTTCCCATCAAAAAACTTTTCTTTTGTTTGTTCTTGGGCCACACCTGGTAGTGCTCTGGGATCATTCCTGGCGGGCCTGGGGAAACTGCAGCTGAAGCAGCTGCCTGAAAGGCAAGATTATGTCCTATGCTATCTCTCTGGCCCCTCCAAGAAGTATTTTTACTCAGCCTTGTTCCTGTTAGCTCCCTGAAGTAACAAGTTTGGTACGATTACATTTCTTCCAAATGCACACTATTAGTTTAAAATTAAAATTGTGTCCACAAACCATTTTAAAACACCCCGTAATCGTAACGTATACTAGTTACGTTTATCATTGCTCTGGCTCATTTTGAAATAATAATTTCAAGATGAAGAGTCCAAGTACAAAATGTTTACATTTACAAGTAAACCTGCATATTCCCCATGCTATCTACAGAGCAGATAAAATATAAAACACCTGGCCTGAAGACATTCTACAGATTTTTGTTTTGTAACTAATTATCAAGATAAAGCCATCCACCCCTACCCAAATCAAAAAGCTTCAAACATAAAGGAAGATCACAGTCACGGGCCTCCCGTTGTTCATCGATTTGCTCGAGCGGGCCCAGTAACATCTCCATTGTGAGACTTGTTGTTACTGTGTTTGGCATATTGAATACATCACGGGTAGCTTGCCAGGCTCTGCCTTTTTCTACTCTGAGCCCTGCAGGGGACTACATATGCCAAGAGTCCAACCAGGGGGTGGCCATGGAAAAGACTATGGGGCAAGCTCTCAGTCTCAACTCGATTTCACCCAAATCAGCTCCACCACATTCAAGTTCACACTTTTAGGCACTGACATCTTCTCAGCACAAGACTCTAAAACTGAATTACGCCATCAGCAATTTCTTACTGCAACATTAAAAACTAAAATAGAAATGAAATTCCTATGAGATATGTATTACAAAGAATAAACTGAAAACCACAGTTGAAACTCCAAAGGAGAGTTGCTACAATTTTTATAAATGAACAATGGAGGCTCTTGTAAAAGAGTCCTTTAAGAAAATCAGAAAATGACAGGGAAGAGGAATCTTACCTTCTGTGCACAAGCAGAAACGTGAGGAAAATCAGAAGTCAATGCTTTATTCTTTCTAAGGAAAAGGAAATCAAACGATAAAACAAAGATGACAAAAGCAATCTTACCTGATTTCGTTCTCTTTTTCCAGCTGATGGTAACCAGAAACTAAAGAGAGGGAGAGAATAACAAGGGAAAAAAAACAATAAAAGAGGTGGTAGGAAAATTATAAAGAGAAAAACTGAATGATGTTGGAATAATGAAGATAAAGAATGGGGCAAAACTGAACAAACGTGAAGACCTCTTAGCACCTGCATTGCAAATGTTGGAACAATGAAGATAAAGAATAGGGCAGGGGCTGGAGTGATAGCACAGCAGGTAGGGCGCTTGCCTTGCAGGAGGCCCGACCCGGGTTCGATTCCCAGCATCCCATATGGTCCCCTGAGCACGGCCAGGAGTAATTCCTGAGTGCATAAACCAGGAGTAACCCCTGTGCATCGCTGGGTGTGACTCCCCCCCCACCCCCTGCAAAAAAAAAAAAAAAAGGAATAGGGTAAAACCAAACAAACATGATAACCTCTTAGCACCTGTATTGCAAACCATAGTGCACAGAAGGAGAGAGGGAAGGAAGAAGGAAGGGGGTGGAGGGAAAGGGAGAGAGAGAGAGAGAGAGAGAGAGAAGAAAAGTACCCACTATTAAGACAGGAGACGGGGGGGGGGGGGGAGCTGGGGGGTGGCAGGGGGAAACTGTGGTCAGAAATGTACTCTGGTGGAGGGATGGGTGTTGGAACATTGACTGAAACCCAATCATGAACAGCTTTATCAATCTCACGATAATTCAGTTTAAAAAAAAAAGTGGGGCAAAAGATGTAATTGAAAAGAGAGATTATATGCATAAATTTCCTTTTTTGCAGAAAACTCTTCTTCAAAGGAAAAAAAAATCATGTCATAGAATGAAAACCACTGGATATTCAACAACAAACAGCAACAAAACTTCACAAGAGTTCAGAGTGACACTCCTCGGCTGTGCCATGGGGAAAGGTCTCCCAATTCAACAATGGCATAAACCGCATGCACACACCCCTTCCCTTTCCTGTAGGTTAAAACCGTGACCAGACTGGGTGTGCATAGGTTCCTGATTGGATACTGTCCGTGACTGGTCCAGGTGAACAGCAAAGGGCCAATTATGTTCGGGGACAAGAGTGTTACAAGGAAGGATGGGACGTTCTTCCTATGGCCACACACAGGCTGTTCAACAGCGCTCTGCCATTGTAGGAGGACAAAGGATAGTTCTCTTAAGAAGGGGGAAGAGCACAAAAACTAAGCCAGAGACAATCACCCATTTGGACAACAACCAAAACACCTAGAGAAGATTAATGTTAAAAAATTAAAATTCCAAATACTATTTATAATACAGCAACTATAGATATAAAAAGCAAAGAAGTTAACAGTCTAGAAAGAAAAACAAAAAACGTATTGCTAGATAGGTTTAGGGTGTCAGCTATTCGAAGTGTATAAAGTCCACTTAGGATCTAATCTTTCAGCCCTAAAGTCAGATTTCTAGGTCTTATAGGTAAAACTTCCCTCTGCCTCCTTCACCAAGAAAAAGAGTGAAAACCAGGACTCACTCTTTCTGCCGAGGGTCACTAATGAGATGGCCGAGCCTCTCGCTGCCCAAAGTGCTCACGCTGGTCTCCTGAAAGACAAGGGAGAAAGCCATGGAAACACAGAAACAAAAGCAGTGAACTGGCACTGAGCCCTTCCCTCTCATCTCTGATGCCAGCCCCAAACTCCAACAGCAACCTTCTTTTCACAGCACCTATCCTAAAAGTATGGGTTATCTTAGTTTTCTTTAATGCTAAAAAAAAAAAGTCATTATAAACATAATTTACCATATTTTTTGTGTGTTTGTGTGGGTGGAAGAGGGGGAGTTTGGAGGGGGTGAGTCACACCTGGCAGTGCTCGGGGATCACTTTGGGCATGGCTTTGGACCACATGCAGTGCCAGGAATGAAGGTGTGGTCAGTTCGAGACCAGTGACTTGTACTAACTCCTTGGTCCCTACATCTGGTATTTCAATATATGAGCAATACCTCTTGGAATTGTTTAAAGTACAAAAAGCCCAGAAAATCTTTTTTAAAATATTCACAGAGGCACTGTAGAGATAGCATGGTGGGGCGGGTGTTTGCCTAATTGTATTTGGCCAACTCATATTCAACCTCTTGCATCCTATATGCTCCCAGGAGTGATCCTAAGCTCAAAGCTAGGAGCAACCCCTGAGCATCACTGGGTGTGGACCAAAAAAATATATATTCCCACAACTCAGACCCAGAGACAGCTGAGGGTTATAAGGCACCCTCACCTTGCATATTGCTGACTCCATTTCAATCAACAGCACCACATATGGCCCCTTGAGTGCAGCCGAGGGTCACTCCTGAGAAAAGCCAGGAGTAAGCCTTGAGCACCAGGCGTAGCTCCCAAACCAAAATATTAATTAAAATGAGGAATGTTGGGGCTGGAGCAATAGCACAGCAGGTAGGGCATTTGCCTTGCACGCAGTCAACCCGGGTTCGATTCCCAGTATCCCATATGGTCCCCCGAGCACTGCCAGGAGTGATTCCTGAGTGCAAAGCCAAGAGTAATGAGCATTGCCAGGTGTGACCCAAAAAGAAAAAAAATGAGAAATGTTGGGGCTGGAGTGATAGTACAGCAGCTAGGGCATTGACCTTGCACGTGGCCAACCCAGGTTCGATTCCCAGCATCCCATATGGTCCCCCGAGCACTGCCAGGAATAATTCCTGAATGAGTGCAGAACCAGGAGTAACCCCTGAGCATCACCAGGTGTGACCCAAAAAGAAAAAAAAGAAATAAAATAAAATGAGGAGTGTTTAATTCCCTTTAAAAAGAAAGAAAGAGAGAACTAGCTCAGGGGATAAGGCCCTTCCCAAGCCCAGTTTGATCCTTGGCTCCACATATGGTCCTCTGAGCCCGCCAAGAGTGATCCCCAAGTGCAAAGCCAGGACTAAACCCTGAAATGCCGGGCATGGCCCAGTTTTGAACAGGCCAGCACCCCAAGCTCTCTACAGTCAGAGTCTCACAGCCTTCACGCGGGAACGGACGTTTATGGATTCCTCTCTAGTGACAACGAAATTATCTACTGAATGGAAACGTAACAAGATTTTGTGACTTACCAAAACTATCTCCCTTAATTTTGCTGGTAAATGAAGAGACAGCTTTTGTCTCCCTTTTCACTCTAACGTCACTTAGAGTGAAAAGAAAAGTTTGTATGAATTGATTCTTAAGTGTGGTTTTAACCCATAACATCACAAACAATTTAGAAATATCTCCCAGAAGAGAACAATGCAGAGTCTCCTGCCCCCGTGCCTGGCTGTCCTCACCCGGACCCCTTGGAGGGGGGGGCAGGTTGAGTTTCCCTCCCCTCCCCAAACAGAGCCCCAGCAGCTGAAGACCTCCGGAACCAGCCACAGCCATGCTTAAGACCACTCTCCACACGCTCGAACAAAACCGGCAGAGGAACACAGGTGTGCGGGACCCGGGACTGAGATCTCCAAGCCTGCTCGGATCGGGACTGGGTCTCCTCCACCCAGATCCCCCATCTTCCAGTAGCTAGGCAGTTACACCCACCAACTGCCCCCGGCCCGTGTAATCCCATCAACAGCCAAGATCCAGAGACCATAAAATCAACCTGGAAGCGCATGGCCGCATTTGTGGCTGAGCGGCCTCTTGTTTTCTAGTTCTCACTCTTGGAGAACCCGGCAGGCTACCTAGAGTATCCTGCCCACATGGCAGAGTCTGGCAAGCTCCCCGTGGTGTATTCGATATGCCAAAACCCAGTAACAATGATGGGTCTCATTCCCCTGACCCTGAAAGAGCCTCCAGTGTGGCACTTGCTAAAATCTCAGGGCTAGGACGAATGAAGATATTACTGGTGCCTGCTCGAGGAAATGGGATGACAGGATACAGTGATACAGTGATCACCACCTGGATACATGAAGCCCTGGGTTCAATCCCAAGAACCGGCAGGGGGAAAAAGCCAAGCCAATTACTTGAGCATGATTATTAATAAATCTATATTGACCAGTGTGTGCAGATGAGCCTAAATGTTAGGGTAACAGAACAAGTGCCTATGGAAAGATTTACCGTGGCCAGATTCTGGGTGAACGTGGAGTGAAGCTAAATGAAAAGGTTCCAGATGAGTCTTCGTCCCTCTCTCACCAATGTGTCCTGGTCACAGACTCAGGCCCGGTGGTGAGGCCCATGGAAAAGATGAGTGAAAAATGAGGTATTTGTTACAGCAGGAAAATTATTAACTTAAAGTGCTGTAATGTTTAAATTTACAGTTTATTACTGTGTAAATTACAAGCCATACTTTGTGTAATTAGCAGCTCGCTGGCAGGGAGCTGTGAATGAAACTCATTATTTATGATTACAATTCAGAAAAAAGGGAAAAGCGAGAGGGAAGGGGAAACAAGGAGGGTAGAACAGTGACCTCTGGTAGAAATGACAAATACCCCTTTAAGGCGATGAAGACGAATTAATCGTGGAAATATTATCCTATCCACTTGAAACCATTAGAGGCACATCTAATAGGGCCTAGTTACCTTCCAGGCAGGCTAACGCGAGCCTCTGCAATGAAATGCTTCACTTCCAAGGAAGTGGCAAAGCCCTGATGTTATAGGAGCTGAAACAATGTACTGTAAGCAGTAGGGAAATGATCATCTGTCAAGCCTAACCAGTCAAGAGAAAAAGTAAAACCTTCAGGTTGGAGAGACAGTACAGCAGGTAAGGTGCTTGTCGTGCAAGCGGCCAACTTGGGTTCGATCCCCAGTGTTCCGTCTGATCCCCTGAGCACTTCCAGGAGTGATACCTGAGCACAGAGCCAGGTATAAACTCTGAACATCACTGGGGATGGCTCCAAAAACAAAAACAAACAAAAAAAAAAAGAGTAAAATAATCTCACCCTCATGTTTCCCGCCACTCTACCCTGCTTGCTGTCCCAAGCGAAGAATGAGCTCCCAGAACATAAGTCCAGATGGAAAGGCTCTGCTTCCAAAACTCAAATGACTTTCTTGTTAGAGATCTGAAACTATTCGAAGCTACAAAGAAGAATCTGAGTTCAATGGAGTGAAACAGCGTAACTTGTCTTGGCTAAAACTTCAGGCACCAGTTCCCTGATTAAACTATAGAAGAGGGATGACATGGGTCCACCCACTCCCCACCTGGCATGGCACCCGCTCTCTCAATGTGCTCCCAGAGCGAACATCTCTGCCCTGCTTGCTGCTCCCCCTTGGCCTTGCCCACTGTATCCTTCTCTGCCAGGGGAGGAGTCCCAGGCTTAACCAAATTTTCAGTCTCAAAACTAGTGTCTAACAATGAAATCAGGAAGGTTTTTAATGTGAGCATAAGAAAAAGGGGAAGCAGACCAGTCACTAGCCCAGGTTCAGGGGCTCGTCGCAGGAAGCCCACTATTCAAGAGAGTGGGCGCCAGCAAAAGGGAGTTCATTCAGCAATCTGAAGGGACGGTAGGCTCATGCCTCAAAAACCCACCTTCCTCTCCGGTTGGGGTGAAGGGGTTATATGAGAGAATTCTATGGATGTGGGCAGAGCAGGGAGTTCTGTCTGAGGAGGTCCAGGCAGTGGTCAGTGAACCCTTGGAGGATGGCAATCTGGTAATGGTCAAACCAGCATCCTTCAAGAGTCCTTGCAGAGGCCTCAGTGTGGAGTCTTCTCACCACCCCGGGTCATAAGTGAACCCAGTTCAACACCACACACAGAGCAAGGGAGCATTTCTGAGGAACAGGGATGGGCCACAGATCCAGGGAGAGAGAAAAACACAACTGGAAGGCACAGGACAGAGTCACTAATCCCTGCTCCCTACAGACCCAGTCCAGTTCTCTAGTCTGTCCATTTTCATCTGGGTAACAGCAGACAGTACTTAACTCCTCTGAGCCTCAGCTCACCTCATCTGTTTAGGGTCAGTATCCGCTTTTGTACAAGGCTGCTGTGGGTGCCTAGGAGGGTCTCTGACAAGAACCAAAGTGACCGGATGGCAGACCTCTCTTGTAGTCAAGAAGGGGGCTCTTAAAATTCAGGAACAGAATTTTCACCATTTTTAAAAATATGAATTCTAAAGAACCAAAGTCAGGATAAAAAAAAGTCTTCGTGAAGCCAGCCTCACATGCTGGGGGAAAAGGCAGCTCAGATAGAGAAGGGACCCTGAACCTGAGAAGGGACCAAGGAAAGGATGCTAGGAGGGCCTGCTCGGGATGGGAGATGCGGGCTGAAAGTAGACTATAGACCAAATGTGATGGCCACTTAATACCTCTATTGCAAACCACAACACCCAAAAAGAGAGTGCAAGCTAAAGGGAATACCCTGCCACAGAGGTGGGGTTGGGTGGAAGAGACGGGGTGGGGGTGGTGGGAGGGATGCTGGGACCATTGGTGGTGAAAAATGAGCACTGGTGGAGGGATGGGTACTCACTGTATGACTGAAATGCAAGCACAAAAGTTTGTAAGTCTGTAACTGTACCTCACAGTGATTCACTAATAAAAAAAATTTTTTTTAAATCTTCATGAACACAGGCAAAAGGCAAAAGTATTTAAACTTAATAGCATAAGACTGATGAAAAAAGGAAAAATGACAGAGCAGGTCTGCAGTGTTAGCGCCAACAGACTCTTGTGACAGAGCCAGCGCAGTTAGGACTCTTTGAAACAAGCTCCTTTTTTGGGTGTACGTCATGTCTGTGGCTGGGAAAGCGCCAAGAATTCCCGGGACCTAATTCCAGGGAATTCTGCAGCACCTGTGATTATCCACAGGGCACGCAAATCCCACAGGGAATATTCTCTCTCCCGGGGACCCAGCAAATGGCGAGAGCTATCACCTTCCCGACAAGCCTTCTCCGTCCCTTTCGGAGGCACCGAGCTGCGGCTCCAGGCAGGCGATTCAGGCGTGCATGGTACCCTTAAAACAAGAGAACTGGCATTAGTTACTGAATGCAAAAGGTCTCCAAGCTGTGTTGCGCTTCCTGTATTCATCCCCCCTGGATTCTTACTACACGTACCGTCTCACTAATACCACAGGCTACAGGCTACAGCAGCAGCGTTCCTACATCACGTCACTAGCAGCAGGATCTTAAGACATGTCACTTACCTCTGACCTACATGTCAAAATCACTAGAAGCGGGACAATCACTTGTTCAGTCCTATATTATAGGCAGTTCTGAAGCCCCAATGAAATAGCATGTGGAAAGTAACTTGATAAACTGAAAACACTGCGCAAATAAAAGGTCTGAGTCACCAATTTCTAACCACTTTTCTAACCACTGCGTACATTCTATAAATTAAAGACAATTACACCAAATCATCACCAATGACACTGTCCCTGGGTGTAAGATTAAAGGTCATTTGAAGTTCCCCCTTCCTGTCCTTGTGTGTGTCTACTTCACAGTGGCTCCTGAAGGACTTTTAGAAATGGTCACTACAATGTTCAATGAAAGTTACTGTGGGAGTAAAATTGTGTCTTGGGTAGCAACAGTCCTGACCAAGCACCGGAGCTCCTTCAATCCCCCGTCCACCATCGCAGAACACTGCAGGAGGAAGCTACAGCTCTCAAAAGGTTAAGTCTGACCGCCAACAGGCAACTCAACTACACGGGAACTGACTGACTGCTAAGGGCTAACTGGGGATTCCAGGGCCACAAGTTTGTGCATGGAGTCCAGAGAACTCTGGAACAGCTTTGCTCAATGTCACAAAGCCTTCCAATGATGCCCTGGAGTCCCAGGAAAGGAAATGACGGAGCTCCAGGGACAGGACCACCGAGGATGACCACTTCCTTTACCCTCTCCCCATCTCGCTCTATCCACCTTCCTACACTCAATCTGAAGGGAAAGCAAAAGAAAAGGATTTATTTGTGGTGTAGTGCACAACTGGCGTTAATCTGGGGTGCCACCCAAGCAGAGCTCGGGGGGCCCAGGACCGCTCACTCTGGGCAATACCTAGCCAAGCAGTGGGAGGGGTTGCCACCAAGGCCACATCCAGCAGGGCCTGAGTCACCATGATGTGCTCCAGGATACACCCACTGGCCCTCAGGGTGCCACGCAGTGCTGGGAACTGAACTTAGATCCCCAGAATACAAAGCATGTGCTCCAACCCCTGTGAAAAATCTTCCTGTTTTCTTTAAACAAAAATTATTTAAGGAAATATTCTTTAAATATCCCTTTAAAGTGTGTCATTTTTCTGTTCACCAATATCTCACTGAAGTGTGTTTGTCTCAACATCCAATACTGCAGGCCTCCACTGAGCACTCATCCCATCAGCCTCAGCACGTGCTGCGCAGACCAGATGCTCCGTGGGCACACCCTGGGGCAAGAGCAAGCTGAAGGAATGCACCGCCCACATACAGCGCCCAGAGTCTTGGTGGTCTGATTTAAGGTAGAACGAACAAAGCCCTGTGCTTTGAGACTAAGCGTGAATCCCCCAGAAGAATCCCTAAATGAGCTCTCAAATTCAGACAGCTGAGAGACCGTTCTGCTGAGAGACAGGGACCCGGTCGCTGTGGGATGACCCTCCCCAAAGAGAAGCCCGGTTTGGGCCCCTCGGACTCACCTCTTTGAGCAGGCCGAGAGGGTAGAAGGAATGTGGAATCGGAAAGCTTGTCCAATCCAGAATCCATTCTCTCCACTTCAGAGCAGTGGTCAGGAGTCCACTCGGGCAGAAGGTTCGGGACGGTGAATCCCGGGACACATTCACCTTCATAGAACCAATCACTCTGCTCATCATCCCCTGAAGAGAGAAGAACACACACCACATACCAAGAACATGACCCCTCGTGAAACCACCAGCGAGGAGAATCTCGGGGCGACCGGTCTGATGATACTTGTTAAATAATAATGAAGTATAAAAGAATTGTTTTAATCCTTCTCCTTGACCCATATTATAATGAAAACAAGGGCAACAAACTAGTTGCATCTTAATGTCACACTGTGGTAGACAAGATGGCTTTTTAAAAATGGATAAAGCTGCTATGTACTAAGGCTGTAGTACCTACCAGGACCAAGCTTCAAGATTCTTACGTCTGTCACCTCTTTAGAATCTCTTGCCAACTTCAAAGTAGAAAGGGGTGTTTAAAGCCAAGAGATGTCAAGACCAAGCAAGTAAAAAACAAAGCCAGGATTTGAACACCATGTCCAACTAACTCCAAAGCCTTGGACCAAAAAATTAACTTCACCATGTACTATTCTCTGTGTTGTAAAAGAACCTGGAGCTTCAAAGCCTATAAATGTTTCTCAATTCAAAGCCAACGATTTCTGAATTCAACCTGCACTTCTCAAATCAGTGAGAGAGAGAGAGTCAGAGCTCATTTCTTCTGCTGTAGTTCATTAATAGAACAGAAAATCATCTTGACACTAGCAACGCAAGCCACAAAGAAACGCTTGCCACTGAGAGCAAGTTGTCAAAATTCATACCATTTGTTCTAGGTCATACTTTTTATTGATGATAAAGTTAAGACAAAACACATCTATCCACTCGGGTCAGACTTCTATCTTCTAGCAATAATGACAGCAGCCTCAGTTTCTACTAGAATATTTCTGCCCACAATGAGGAAAATAAGTAACTTTGGTACCTCACACCCTCATTTCAAACTAGCAAAGATGAAGCTTCTAAGAACATCGAAGAGATCACAGAACAGCCACTGCTTGCTGTATGCAAGAGCACAGGGCACACCGATCACGTGAAGCATCAGATTTTCAGGGCAGTAACAATCAGGATAACGACAACTCTTAAATTACTCTGCAGACAAGGGAGCAAGGAAGCAGTAATGAAGGGGAGCTGGTGATCCCACTAAAGAAGATACTCAGTGTTCTCTTATGAAAACACCACCTACATAATTCCCAACACTGTGCAGAGCCAAAACACAAACCACCACCACGAACAGACAAGTCTTGAAAACAGCAGTTAATTCCCAGTCTGGAGTGTCCATCAAGGGGTGGAGGTGGCGGGGAAGGCATGCACTGCCAGGCCCAAACTCAAGGCTTCTGACTCTGAGGTGGGGGTGGGCAGGACCAAGGACTGAGATGTACAGACTGGGGATGTAGCTTTAGACCAGATGCTTCATGTTAGATCAAATATTTCCTATGTGTGTGGGCCCTGGATTCAATCTCAAGCAACAGGAAAAAAATTTTAATTAAAAAAATTAATTTAGGGGCTGGAGCAGTAGCACAGCGGGTAGCGCATTTGCCTTGCACATGGCGAACCCGGGTTCAATTCCCAACATCCCATAGGGACCCCTGAGCACCGCCAGGGGTAATTCCTAAGCGAAGAGCCAGAAGTAACCCCTGTGCATTGCCAGGCGTGACCCAAAAAGCCAAAAAAAAAAATTAATTTATACTTCTAGAGGTAGAAAGCCAATAAAGGGGTTAGTTAGGGCACCTGCCTTGCACATGGCCAACCCAAGTTTGATTTCCAGCATTGTATATGGTTGTCTCCCACCAGGAGGAGTGATCCCTGAGCAGAGCCGGGGTAAGCTCTGAGCACAGAAGGGAGTGGCCCCCAAATGAAATAATAATAATAATAATAATAATAATAATAATAAATGCATATTTCTAATCACTTTCTTAGCTGATCTGGAAACTATATTTTGAGACACACTATTCTAAAAAGTATCCCACCAAAGAAGACATATGACTGAACCAAGCTGGACATCAGAATTACAATGCTTCTCTGCACTTCAATATTCCTTTCTCTATTCCTTTCTTATTAATCCCTTTGTCCATTTACTAAAATAATAGATTTAGCAAGATCATGTCTTCTGCTGACAAAGGCCAGACTAAAGTGGAATGCTTTTCGTTGGAAGCATTCACCACAGATTGCTAACAATGCCGAAGGGACTCACTGACCTGGAAGGCCCTTCGGGAGACCCCACGACCGGCAGCCTTCACCCAGGTTCCCGGGGATGCCTGACCCAGGATCTCCTCTGGGTGTTCCAGAAGCTAAGGAGGAAGCTGCTGGATGGGGCTCCCGATTTCCTGCTCCTTGAAAATCCTGCTTTCACTAAAATAGATTTTGCCATTTGTGAAATTCTAGTACAATTCTGTTTCAAGGAGGAAAAAGGAGAAGTTAACCCCTTGATGGGTTCCCCAGTAACTAATAAAGAGCTGACTACATGGAAAGCAATGTGTCACAGATTCTTGTTGCAAAGAATAAAATAATTCCTGCCTGTGAAAAGCTCCCATGGAAGACACCTTCCTACCACAAGAATGTAATCTGACAAAGTGAGAAGAGAGCAGTAAGCAGGGGACAAGGGGAAAGGAAGCAGCTCTGAGGAGATGTGTCTGCACTGTCCCTTAGCATCCCTTGGGCAAACACAAGCAATCAGGACTTGGGGGAAATGACTGTCTACAAAGGTACAGAGGACCGGAAGAGCCCGGGAGCCAGCACCGGGGGTGTCTTTCCCATTCCAGGAAGGAAGGAGCAAAGAACAGTTCTGGGAGCCTGGAGAGAACCGTGGCTATGGAAGGCAACCCAGTGGAAATAGAGGTCCACAGCAGGGCCACACCACCGCTGCCCACTGGCACTCTAGCCGCAAGGGAGCGGGGAAAGCCAGTCCAGAGTGGCAGACACACACTTCGCTGCTGCCAGGATAGAACGATCCATCCATGCCTTGGCACCCAGTCTCGGCCCTGAGGCAGAGCACACTTTCTCAGCCACTGACCCTGGGCTAGCTCAGACGACTGGCTCTAGGTAGCTGAAGATCAGCAGGGGAAATTTCAGCAAAATATTGTCCATAGCCACACATGATCTTCCTGATGCGGTCACCTGGCACTCAAATCCTCCACTATCACAAGTCCATGCTGAATACAGCCACTGTTCCTTCAGCCCAGATCCCGGAATTAGACAGACGATAATAAACCCAGTCAGCTGAATCACAGCTAACTCCCAGTTACACAGCAAGAAATGAAAGTTACAAACAACCGCCGAAATTCGGAGGTTGGGAAGTGACAGTATTCTACTAAAAACCTGACTAACCCACTCTCATTCACCTGCTCTCCTTCAGTAGTTCTGCTGATGGTCAAAACCAAGTGAAAATTAAGGGATAAGAAGACCTAGTGGTCTAACCCACATATGTCCAGGAGGGGCAGAAGCAGACCTGGACTGAGTCCTGGCAGATGGCCATCCTAATGCTCCTGAGAATGCAATTGCATGTAGAGAGAACAGCCCAAGAAAGACCTGGAGGCAGGGGCAAACATAGCTGAAAACTTTAACCTGGAGGCAGAGGAATAGTACGGCAGGTGAGGGCACTTGCCCTGCATGCTGCAGACCTGGGTGCAATGCCCAGGACTGCACATGATCCCTCCCCCACTCCCACTGGAAGTCATTCCTGAGCACAGACAGAGTCAGGAGTAAAGCCTGCCAGGCAAGATCCACGAACCCCAAAGAACCCAACCGACTAGATTACCTTGGCGTCCTTCGTCATTGGTAAAGAGCCCCGTGTCACTGCTGCTGCACACGCTGCTGGTCTCACTGAAAGGACAGAGCACAGGGGAACACATCAGCATCACAGAGCACAAACCCGAGCTTCCCCACGCTCGCTCCATCAGGGATTTCAAGTTCACTGGGATGTCTCAGGGGAAGGCTGATTCCTCTCCCCACCCCACCCCCGAAAAAAAACAACAGAAAAATGACTCTTTCATTTATCTTTCTACATCTGTTTCAAAGAATTTGAGAAATATCTGGAGTTGGGGAGATGACTCCAAAGGCTGAGTGCCCGCTAGCATGGGAGGCCCGGATTCAATCCCTGGCACGACTGGTCCTCCAAGCAGCACCCAGAGGGCCCCCCAGTGAGTAACCTCCAAGCACCACTGAGTGTGCCCCCCCCCTCCGCACCAAGAATAAACAATCTGAAGTCTCTGTGAGTTTAGGATTAGAAAGCTATTTATTAAAACTCACAAAGGTAATCTCAGTCTGGCTTGTAAATTAAATACAAATATACAGACTCACCCTCTACTTCACTTTTTTTTTTTCTTTTTGGGTCATACCCGGTGACGCACAGGGGTTACTCCTGGCTCTGCACTCAGGAATTATTCTTGGCAGGACTCGGGGGGGGGGGGGGGGGGGGGGTATGGGATGCTGGGAATCAAACCCGGGTCGGCCGCGTGCAAGGCAAACGCCCTCCCTGCTATGCTATTGCTCCAGTCCCTCTACTTCACTTTTAAATGCTATCAACAACAGTCCCAACTAAATGGACAGTTTCAAATGAAACTATCCAACTTGAAGACATCAGGGAGCACTCCTTGTGCCCCATTTACAAAGCAATAAAGAAAATTCATGGCAGCCAGAGTGATAGTACAGTGGGTAAGGTGCTTGCCTTACACATAGCCCACTGGGTTTGATCCCTAGCATCCCATATCGTCCCCGGTGCACAGCCAAGAATGATTCCTGACTGCAGAGCCTGGAGTAACCCATGAGCATTGCTGGCTGTGGCCCAAAAATCAAAAAGAAAAAAAGAAAATTCACTAAGATTTAAAAGCCAGCATGACAAGTGTTCTTTTCTAAATGTAATGTCTTTCCTTTCAAGTGAAAGCAACAAAACTCATTTTCAAAAAGGGAACTAAGGTTGAAAATAAAAACAAAACAAAAAAAAACAACTATAATCTCCATTTGAACTCACTGAAATAAAACTTTCCCCCACAGAATTCTACCCAATCAGCTTCATTTTCTGAGTTATTGCCAGCAACTGATTCTGCCTCTTCTGGGGCTGCTTTTCGTCCACCAAATTTTCATCAAATTTGATTCATGTGGATTAAGAAAATGTCCCTGTTCTTTACAATACTTGCCATTCCCTTGATTGAGAGTGCTTCTTTCCAAGCTCGTTAATCTTTTTTTCACGCGCTTTATTGGAAGAAACCAAAGCAAGGAAGAAACATTCTTACTAAGCTGCATAAGAGAAGAGACTTGGCAAAATCCCAGGCTACATTCCTGGATCAAAAATCTGAAAATATTTTGTATTTTGCAACCTTTCCAGGTATCCTGCCAACACTAAATTTAAAATATATATATGCATATACACACATATATTGCTTAGAGAGCACTGTTTTCCTCACTTGTCTCTAAAAAACAGATCCAAGAGCCAGTAAAACATACCTGGTCTCTTTAAAGTTTCTTTCCTTTTATTTCTCTCTTACTGTGGGGACATTCTTAGGTGTCATGGTTAAGAAGTATCTCACTATGCTCTCTAGCTGGGTTCTGATAAATTTGGTCTCTTCAAAGGGCTCCGCAGTGAAATCAAGAAAATACCCCCACCAAGTACTGCTTTCTTCCTACTTCAAGCCCCCGTGCCTGTGTCCTTTAAGGAGTTCTATCAACCTTCCTCCCATTCAGCTCTGAGCACCTCCAGGTGCTATAAAATTTAAAGCTTCCCTGAGGCTTTTTTGCATGGATTCCATTTTCTCTTCGTGTTCTAAATAAAGGGGACTGGCTTAAAGAGAATTGCTGGATCCCACAAACTTCCTGTCACCAACCATTTTCTAGCTTTGTCACAACAGAAGCACTATTCTTGAAAAAGCTTAAGTCTGTTAATAAGTTTCCTATATATAATGATGGAGAACAGCAAAGATGTCACAGACATGGCACCAGGATCTCAAGCCAATGACCAAGGGAGATAATGTAGTTTCTTCATCAAGAAAATAAGCTATGAGTTATGGCTAACAGAATACTCATTGTGCCCATATTTGAAAATAATTACTTCACCCAATTAGTATCTATTAATTCTACTTATTTCTTAGAAGAACTTGTATGTGGAAATCTAATCCTATGTAAGAAACTTAGTACAGTTTGCTGCAAAGATTAAAAGAACTTCAAGGCGTGTGTGCATATAAATGCTATGATACAACATGCAAACATGTAGCACTAGCTATAAAGTAGAAGAAGCAGGAGCTGGGAAGAGCCCAAGAGGCTGGAATGCACCACTTATGTGAAGCCTGGAGTGTGATCCCCAGTTACATGATCCCCGGGTACCTGCAGATGTGGCCCTGCTGGCCCCCACACACCACCAGATCAAGTGTGGCCAAAAGTGACCTCAGGATCCCCAAAGACTGCTTGAGAGACACTCCCCCCATCCTCCTTCCACAAAAAAAGTGGAAGCAAATTTCCCCTTCCAATTTTAGATAGAAGTTCTTCAGTCCTACAAGTTTTTATTCACTTCTGGTTTAGAGAATTTTACTTACCTTAACCACATCAATTAGATTTTAATAATGATTGTCAACTAATGAAACGTTTATTTAGCTAATAGAATATTTAATGTTAAATGTTCAGCCAACATGGCCAACCCGAGTTTGATTCCTCCACCCCTCTTGGAGAGCCTGGCAAGCTACCGAGAGTATCTGCCCGGACAGCAAAGCCTGGCAAGCTCCCCGTGACGTATTCGATATGCCAAACACAGTAACAACGAAGTCTCACAATGGAGACATTACTGGGCCCGCTCGAGAAAATTGATGAACAACAGGAGGACAGTGACAGTGAATGTTAAATGTTAATATAACAGAATGTTAAAATAAGCTATTTCGCTTTTAGCATATAGTAGTTTTAGTACCTTTAGCACCTTTCTATAGTAAAAGGTCAATGAGTTTCACATTGTCAGGTGCTGGGGGCCAGAGCAATAGCACAGCAGGCAGGGCCTTTGCCTTGCATGCCAACCGGGGTTCAATCCCCGCCACCCCATATGGACCCCCAAGCCCACCAGGAGTGATCCCTGAGTGCAGAGCCAGGAATAAACCCTAAGCACTGCTGGGCATGCCACCACCCAAATAAATAAATAAATGTTATCAGGTGCCTAACAGTTTCCTATTCCCAAGTCTGCAAATTTGTTCATAACTTCTAGTTTACTTTTTGGTTTTGGGGGCCACACCAGTCTTGCTCAGGGCTTACTCCTGGCTCTGTGCTCAGGGATCCGTCCTGGTGGTGCTCAGAGGTGGGAGAGCTGGATACAGGAGATCAAACTTGGGTGGCAGCATACAAAGCAAGTATACCTTAACACAGTCCACTGGTAATATATTTATTTATTTGTGGGTTTGGGGGCCACACCCGGAGATGCTCAGGGGTTACTCCTGGCTCTGCACTCAGGAATTACTCCTGGCAGTGTTCGGGGGACTATATAGGATGCCAGGGATCAAATCCGGGTTGGCTGTGTGCAAGGCAAAAGCTCTCCCTGCTGTACTATCAGTCCAGCCCCCCACTGGTAACTTTTTAATATACGCTTTCTAACTAAGAAATAAAAGCCCTGAGTCATCTACTCTTTTTTCTCTTCTTCTTATTTTTTTTTTTTTAAACCACACCAAGCTTGGTGCTCCGAGGTCCCTCCTGGTGATTCTAAACTTAAAGACCTAAATTCTTAAAGACCTAGATTCTAAACCCAGGGCTCCTGCTTGCAATGACAGGCTTCAGCCCACTGAGCCATCTCCCTGGGACAGCCCCTTTCCTCGCTGTTACAGGTGTCCTCCCTATTTCTTGTAAGCACTCCACAGGTGTCCTCTGAGGCTTAGTCAGAAGAGAGACACTCCGTCTGTCCTGGTGGGGGGGGGGGGGGGGAAACGGGGGACGGGGGACAGACAAATGAAATCTAATGAAATCTTGTCCTTTAATCAGATGGTACCAACTGCAGGGGGTCTGCATCACCTCTCTCTGCCTCAGGATCTGTTCAGAATTCACACACAATTCCTCTCTGTAAACAGCAAACAAAAACCTTCCTAGAATATTTCTGAAACATTCTGAAGCAAAAAACGCATTAAAAAAGATTCAAACCCAAACTAGGAGAATAAAGCAGCTCCAAGAGGTAAAGAAATGCTATCACCCAACTATTTCTCCAAACTTTTACTCATTGATTCAGTAAACTGGTCTTATTCAACCTAGACCAGGAACTGCCAGAATGAGCTGTAAATCCAACAAATGTGTAAATCGCAATTTCAATATGGTTTGTAAAAATGATTAGACTACAAGATGAGAAAGCTATGGTGAAGGTTTCCAATGAAAACTATACTTTAAAAAAAAAAAACGCAAATAAAATGAAAACCTAGACTTTGGACCTAAACTTTGGACCACCAACTGTATTACCTAATCTATGATACTGATTTTAAAAATACAACTGAAATAACAAGTGTTAAATTGACCTAACTAGAGTTCCAAAGACTTTCCTCCCCAACATTCTATTCTGAAAACTTTCGAAGACACACAAAACAGTTGAAGGATGCCAACAGCTCACACTCGATCCCCCAGGCACCAAGACTAATGTTTAGCTTTATCACTCATGTGGACATGGAACCTTCGCACCCAAGCATCTACATATCAGAAGCTCTTGGCAGAGCAGATAACTTGCCTGGGCCTGCCACCCAGAAGTCGATTAACACGGGAACAGAGCCCATTAAAATACTATCGGTACCTCTTCTCCATTAAAATGATTGATTCCAGGACAAACATGTCTAGCTAACCGTGAACTTGGTACCAACTTGGCTGCAGTGCTCAAGTTGTCA